AAGGCCACCAACAACTGGCCTGGCCTGGACGATAAAGGACGTTTAAACGGGGCTACCCGCTGCAATGGAAATGCGCTATAACATACCTTATTCTTACTCCGAGCACTACTTCTGGTCCTCCGTCGCTTCACACTTGCAGAGGGCGATTTCTCAACTGGCCGAACTGGTGTCCTGGTCGGTGATGACACCAGAAAGACCGATGGTACTGCATCTCCATTAAGTAATGGTTGTTCAATAAATCCCATGTTATGTTTTATCATACTCTCAGAGTAGTCGTCCGGAAACTTGAAATGTTCGCTGCATACATGCGCCTGTGGATCTTTCGGTTCGGGCCGGCCACATTTCGCTAGCCACTGCCTCCGAACGTACTTCCTACGCTTCCCTTTTGGCAACAGATGGAACCGAGCATTCCGTGGATTGTTCCTATCAGAATTGTGGCAATGTTTCGCGATACAATGAGGCATATTTGAAGAGAGTAACTACAGTAAATAACATGAACATCAACGTGTCCTCGAAACCAGACGCATGGTTTACGTCACGTCCGGTAAAATGGCGCCGCCCACAATGTTGATGTTATTTCGGTAATTAATCCGTTTAAAATCACTGATAATGTCATCGGATTAAAAAAAAAAGAAGAAAGAAAGACTGGCAGAGACTGGTCTGTTTTATCGGATGATAATTTGTTTTAAATGAGTGTCATGAGCATACCATTCCTTTAAGTGGCCTGCTGGCCTGAGGATTCTTTTTGTAATGTATGTATAGTGAACGCAACGCTGCGCAAATGTGGGTCTTGCTCTGCCTCACAGAGGGTGACTGGCTGTCTACATGATGTGGCCCCGCCAACATGGCCACTTTCATACAGATCATACACTAAAGCCCTTGATTGGTCTCTGTGTGTCATTCAAGCTCGGGAGCGAGCGAGAGAGCGCACACACCGGTTACTGTATTGTTGCTGTTAGCATCTGGTGCTAGCTAGCTGCGCTAACCGATATAAGGAGCTGTTTCAACAACAAGGTGGAGGAGAGTCCTCTCCAGTCAGACTGAGAGACTGATAACTACAGCTCAGGTGAGGTAAAGGACTCTCTTGAGTGTTTAGATAGTTAACTTTGTCTAAGTTATCTCTGTGGGTCTCAAACGGTTTGGTCTCCATTTATGTAAACACATATTTCCATTTGAGGGGGGAGTGAGATTAGTTAAATGATATGCATGAATAATAAAAAAAAATACGTTAACTAGGTGAAAAAAGGTAAGATAAACTTTTAAAACTTGTTGAGAGCTAAAACTAGTCTTTGCTGCTGCCTCAAAGAGGAGCAGGGGGAGAGGGCGAGACAGGAGAGGCTGATTCAGGAGCACAGACACACACAACTATAAATGAACCAAAAACAAATAAATAAACAAGTTCAAATGTTTTTAAATATTGGATATGGTATGTTATTGGTTATGGCCATATTCTTATGATTATTTAAATGTGTACAGTTCTGTTTCATATGGGTGTTTCCATAGATCTATCTTTATTTCCCCCTCAAAATGCACCAGATTGATGCATTTAACTCCAACATTTAACACAAAAATCTTACCGGGGGAGCATGCCGCCGGACCCCCCTAGAGGATTTGAGGTCCACCCCCACTTAAAATATGTGCACATGGATAGGTTCCTAAATAGATTTTCACATTTTTTTAAAATAGTGACCCATGTCCATATGTTTATTTTTGGGTAGTAGATTTAAACTATAGGGCTATCACTATGGGCAGCAACGCTGTAAATATTGACAAATAAATCCAGCAAAATGGCACAAAAACAATGGTAGTGGCCAGGCTGGGTGTATAACTCCCGGCCTGACTTATTGTCCCAGTCCGGCCCTGTCAACAGATCTCACAAATGATCCCTCGGAGTATATATGTTTTCGTCTGCGAGGGAACAACTAACATCTGGGGCCTCATTTATAAAACTTTGCGTAGGATTCACGTGAAAAGATGGCGTACGTAGGAACAAAGGAAGTAAATACGCACACAAATATTCAGATTCATAAAACACTACGTGCGCCGGTTTCCCTTTATAAATCACAATCAACTCAAAATGCGGCGCAGCTTTCGCGGGTTTCACGTAACGCCCATATTTGCCTAAAAATAGTCAAACGCCCGCATTAATATTCATTTAGACTGACTGCAGGAAGAAGATCTCAACCTCCCCCCCCCCCCCCCCACAGCAACTCTATCCCCCAGTTACAGGAAATAAACAAATGTCTTGGGTTGTATCAGCTGTACTATTTACTAAATATATGGTGTTCTTAGTTCCAAAAATTGGCGTACGCTATCTTTTGAGCGACGCTTTTAAATGATTCCCCTGGTCTCAGAGATTCAACTCCAAATAACATTTGACCCCAGATGGGACTCAAACCCACAATCCCTGGTTTAGGATGTCAGTGCCTTATCCATTGGGCCACAAACTACAGCTTGTTAACACGACTTCACGTCACCACAGTGTAAAAACCCCCAAAAAACCTTTTCAAAAACCATTGACCACAACACCAAGACAATAGGAAACGATGAAATCCTGACTCATGTCAAGATAATTTCATATTTTCAACACAAGCTTTGAATAAAGACACTTGAACTCACTTTCAAATGTGCATAAATACCTAAACATTATGCTTTTTGTCCAACATTTTCAAGGCTAATTGTGAAGACACTCAAAGCCAAACCCATAGATCAAATGTGAGACTATTATTTAATCTAGAAACAGGAAGGGAAAGTAAAATATGAAGCATTTATTTCATACTTCCAACAGCTAAGGTTAGCATAGCATACTTTCATTATAATCATGATGACTGTTATTACTGTGGCTTTAATCTGAAATCTTGTCATCTATCAGTCCTGCAGGAAAAGCAACAGAAATAACATCTTTATTTGAGTGGAGAAAGCCGTCTGTAACTGTGAGCTCTGGAGTGTGTGGGCACTGCTTCTGTCCAGCCAACAATAGAGATGATTTCATGCTGCTAATTAAGTCCTCTGATGAAAGCTGCTGCCGCTGAAACACACTCACTGAAGAGTAAAACATTTAATAGCTTCTTTTCCTGTTGGTGTTTCTAATGTGGCTGATTACTCGCAGCTTTGAGCAGTTTCTCTCTGCAGAATACAGCAGGAAGACCTGTTTTTAGTCCTTTACCTGGACATGACTCGGCATTTTAGCACTTCCTGTCCCCTAGTCTGGAGGTTAAGGCTTTTCTGAATGTGTTTTTAGTGTGAAAAAAGGTCTGTGGTTAACACAAGCTGAAGGGATTTTTATTCTACGACATAAAATACGTCAGTAAATAGTAAATACCCCACTGGTTGCTAACAAGTGTCTAAATAACGTCCAACATTAGCCGCCTTTAGCTTAGCGGTGGTGACGTGAAGTCATGTGACCGTGCTGTAGTTCCTTTCTAGCCCAACATTAGCCACCTTTAGCTTAGCGATGGTGACGTGAAGTCATGTGACCGTGCTGTAGTTCCTTTATAGCCCAACATTAGCCGCCTTTAGCTTAGCGGTGGTGACGTGAAGTCATGTGACCGTGCTGTAGTTCCTTTAGAGCCCAACATTAGCCGCCTTTAGCTTAGCAGTGGTGACGTGAAGTCATGTGACCGTGCTGTAGTTCCTTTATAGCCCAACATTAGCCGCCTTTAGCTTAGCGGTGGTGACGTGAAGTCATGTGACCGTGCTGTAGTTCCTTTATAGCCCAACATTAGCCGCCTTTAGCTTAGCGGTGGTGACGTGATGTCATGTGACCGTGCTGTAGTTCCTTTATAGCCCAACATTAGCCTCCTTTAGCTTAGCGGTGGTGACGTGAAGTCATGTGACCGTGCTGTAGTTCCTTTATAGCCCACCATTAGCCACCTTTAGCTTAGCGGTGGTGATGTGAAGTCATGTGACCGTGCTGTAGTTCCTTTATAGCCCAACATTAGCCACCTTTAGCTTAGCGGTGGTGACGTGAAGTCATGTGACCGTGCTTGTAGTTCCTTTATAGCCCAACATTAGCCGCCTTTAGCTTAGCTGGTGGTGACGTAAAGTCATGTGACCGTACTGTAGTTTCCTTTATAGCCCAACGTTAGCCTCCTTTAGCTTAGCGGTGGTGACGTGAAGTCATGTGACCGTGCTGTGGTTCCTTTATAGCCCAACATTAGCCACCTTTAGCTTAGCGGTGGTGACGTGAAGTCATGTGACCGTGCTGTAGTTCCTTTATAGCCCAACATTAGCCTCCTTTAGCTTAGCGGTGGTGACGTGAAGTCATGTGACCGTGCTGTAGTTCCTTTATAGCCCAACATTAGCCGCCTTTAGCTTTAGCGGGTGGTGACGTGAAGTCATGTGACCGTGCTGTAGTTCCTTTATAGCCCAACATTAGCCTCCTTTAGCTTAGCGGTGGTGACGTGAAGTCATGTGACCGTGCTGTAGTTCCTTTATAGCCCAACATTAGCTACCAAATACTGTTGCTGGGAGCTCAAACGCAAATGCTAATGCTAATTCAAAGCCATCAGAATACTGTACACACTCACTATTATCCTGCAGAACATCAGACATAACATTTTGATGCAAATACAACTTCCTGTTTCCTGCTGGAGTTGCTCTAATTGCTCTTTTACCTGCTGTGTTATATGTGATATTGTATTTTCTTTAAGTGTTATTTACTTATCATTTTACTTGAGTATTTCCATATTATGCTACTCTTTACTTCTACTTCTCTACAATTCAGAAGCCAATGTTGTGTTTTTCCTCCACGACATTTATCTGACAATAAAACCTTTGAATCGTTGAATCTTTGATAATGCTAGCATCCTACGATTCATCAGATTAACGAAGAAAGCTTTTCATACAGGCTGATATTAGGACCTATCATTTGGGAAAAGCATTTGTTTCTTGCACAGGATAGCTGCTTTTCCACCGAAGCATGAAATAAATAATTAATCCCCGCAGCCCGCAGACAGATGGACGAGCAGATGAGGTCATTAATAAAAAGAAATCCTTACCTTCATGAGGACGGACTCAGAAAGCTTCTCTCTGTTCACGATCTTTATCGCCACTTTCTGTCCCGTTATACAGTGAACGCCCAGCTTCACAAGGCCTGACACACACACACACACACACACACACACAAACACACACACACACACACACACACACACACACACACACACACACACACAAACACACACACAGGGGAAGAGAGGGGAGGGGAGACTGTTTTAAATCTTCATGCCGTGTGAAAACAGGAAGGGAGGGATGGCATCAATAATTCAAAAAGCTTTACTGTCACAAACACTGACCAGCGAACTAGAGTCTGATTGGATTAATTAGATGTATTTTCCTCGTCCCAAAAATTCAATAAATACAAGTTCAACTTAAGAGTATTGCTTTCAACACAACGTATACAGTAATGTGATATCTATGGACATGTAAACATCATTAAATTCAACATTACAGTGTTTTTAGAGCACTTTAAGAAGGATCTAGCAGAATGAAAGCACCTTGAGATCTGAGTAGCGTGTCTTAGAGTCAGTGGTGGAATATAATAAAGTACTTTTAGTCATTAAGTGTTATTTTGACATTATTTTACTTCAGTATTTCCATGTTATCATTCTATTTCTCTACATTTCAGAAGCCAATGTTGTGTTTCTCCTCCACGACAGCTTTTTACAGATGCAGCTTATTAGCTAATACACAGTATGAGTCCACTAATGAATAAACATGTACATATTTTACTTGTAACAGAGTATTTTTACCCGTCTTTCATCGTCAATATGTGTATATATTTGACCATCATTTAGTTGTTGATTGACATTTAGGTTCAACTTAAGAGTATTGCTTGTAACAGAGTACACTTTAGTACGGCTGCTTTAACTACATTTGACAGATAGTCTACGCATATCCTTCACTATATGTATATTATTTTGCTTTTTAATCCGTTTCATTACTATTTACAGATGTTTATATTTCATGCTATTTCCTACTCTTTCCTCTTCTTGTTTAGACGCTGCTGTGACGTTAGACATGTCCCACATTGGGATCAATACATCTAATCTAAGTCAAATATCTGGGTCTTTCTTCCACTTCTGGTTCTGGTTTGAGCTTTTTATATTTGCAGTATTAACTAATACACATATAATACACTAATAAATACACAGGGACTTCTTTGGCTTGTAACAGAGGGTTTTTTATGTGTATATATTTTGCTTTCTAGTTCTGTTTTATCTTGTATTTTCAGATATTTGTTTATTTTTTACTCTTTTTCATTTTCACCATGCCTTGTTGCTGTGACGTTAAACATGTCCCAAATTGGGATCAATAAAGTACAACACACAGGGGGTCCGCGGGGTCTTAACAAGTATTAAACGGCATTTTCCAAGGTTTTACATTTTGTAGCTTGTTTTCAATAAGTATATGAATGGTCCAGAGAGGTTGTGTTCTACAGTCTGCCTGAATGTAATCATGGCGTAGTGTGTAGTGTGATTCTGTGTAGTTTATTGATGGCATCCCGTTGGGTTTGAGGTCATCTGAACAGGACATCACACGCTCACTGCTTGATAGCGCGCGGAGGTCCGTTTACGCCGGTTGTTAAACAACATCGTTACGGGGAAATGCAAGTCTGTGTCCAAATGGTTGGAAGATAAGGAGGAAGGACATCAATACTGTATATAGTGAATGTGAGGTAAAGTGTGTCGCCAAGGTAACCGGTTAAAACTCCAAGTGGCGATGAGGTCTTAAAATGTCTTCCATGTGACTTCAGGAGTCCTGCATAGACCCTGAGTACAATACAGCTTCATTTATAAAGCACTTTCAAACCTCCAGACCAGGGGTTCCCAACCTTTTTCCCCAAGAGCCCCCCCCAAATGACTCCTGTTGGAAGCCCCCCCCACACACACGCACACACACACACACACACACACACACACACACCACACACACACACACACACACACACACAAGGAGGGGGGGCGCAACAGTGGTAATTAAAGTTTAAAAGTCTCAAAATGCAACAACTACTGTCACAAACTGGAAGAATGTGGAGTATGTTGTTAAAGGAGGATGAAAGCGTAATCAAGGAGCACTATTGGAGCGACTTTGATGGTTATTGGACTCAGGATTCATTCATTTGGATTCCCGCTGAATGAAGAAATGAAAGGACGGCGGAAGTGGAAACAATTCACAAAGAGATTAAACCGTTTAAAACACACGCTCAAAGTAAGCCGGATTTTGCCGATGTGTTTCTGTGGATTCAAAAGTCGTAAATAATCTACAAAATGGAGGAGACCGATCTGATCGGAGCAACTGACAAATAATCCAACTGAAACCGGCATGGACGATGACTGTGTTTTAAACATGTCTAAAGAAAGAATTATACATTTCTGTCTTTTTACTTGAATTTTTATTCAAATTAATTAGTCAATTATTTTTTATATTGTATTGTAATGTAGAGACAAGGCTTTTAGTGACAATCATGTATTGAGTTACAATTATATGTACAAAAAAAATTTTTTTTTTTTAAATTAAAAATTCTAAATATGATATTTGGCCTCAAATCATCTGAGGCCTGGCGCCCCCCCTGCGATCTTTGGCGCCCCCCAGGTTGGGAACCACTGCTCCAGACCAAAGTGCTGTTTGCTAAGCAAACACATCATGTGGAAAGTAAGTCAAGTAAAAACAAGAGACAATTTAAAAGCAATAAAAGCAACAGTGAAGATGTGAAGATGCGAAGGAGAAGAGGTGGGTTTTAAGAAGCGATTTAAAAGCAGACAGAGTGGAGGCCTGTCTGAAGTCAATCTAATCTAAAGAGGAAGATCTGGGTCCATCTTCCACTGGTTCTGATGAAATGAGGGTCTTGTTCCTACCTGTCTGGCCCTTCCCGAGGGTCTTCTCCAGTCGATAGGGACCCACATACTGGCTGGACAGAACCACCGTCAGCTCTTTGCTGCTCATCCTTCCTCCTTCAGTTTCCTTTTCCGGGTGTGAGGCAGATCAACTCCGAAAGCCTCATCCCAGAGAGAGAGGGAAGAGGTTCTGGTTCTGCTTCAGATTCAAAAGATTCACAGGTTCATCATCTGCTCAAAGCTTCAGTGTAGAAATGGCAATGACATTCTTCTGACCTGAGCTACTCCCACAATGCAACATATATATTAAAATACAAAAATACACAATAGTGCAAGAAGTCTATTTACATGTCAATAGAATACGATATGTACACATTAGGTCATTTAAAAGCATTAATATTAAGTTCAAGCTGATATTTAGACTTCATATTTTAGCGATCAACTAACCTAATACAGTTCATCTGTTGATTTAATACATTTAATTAAAGTACTTAAGTCAATTCTGCAATCTGCACAACGACTACTTTTACTGTCACTACTTTCACTATATTTTGATGAGAATACTTTTCTACTTTTACTTGAGGAACATTTTGAATGAAGGACTTTTACTGTAACAGAGTATTCCTACACTCTGGTACTTCTACTTTTACTCAAGAACAAGACCTGAGTACTTCTACTTTTACTCAAGTACAAGATCTGAGTACTTCTACTTTTACTCAAGTACAAGATCTGAGTACTTCTACTTTTACTCAAGTACAAGATCTGAGTACTTCTACTTTTACTCAAGTACAAGGTCTGAGTACTTCTACTTTTACTCAAGTACAAGATCTGAGTAATTCTACTTTTACTCAAGAACAAGATCTGTGTACTTCTACTTTACTCAAGTACAAGACCTGAGTACTTCTACTTTTACTCAAGAACAAGATCTGAGTACTTCTACTTTTACTCAAGTACAAGATCTGAGTAATTCTACTTTTACTCAAGTACAAGATCTGAGTACTTCTACTTTTACTCAAGTACAAGATCTGAGTAATTCTACTTTTACTCAAGTACAAGACCTGAGTACTTCTACTTTTACTCAAGAACAAGATCTGAGTACTTCTACTTTTACTCAAGTACAAGATCTGAGTACTTCTACTTTAACTCAAGTACAAGACCTGAGTACTTCTACTTTTACTCAAGTACAAGACCTGAGTACTT